TTCACATTTATTTTTTGAAAACAATACTTCATGATGGGAATCACACATTTGACTAATGCTTAAAAGATTTGCTTTAAGACCATCAACTAGTAGAACATTATCTAGCTTGGGAAGACCAGCAACACTTATAGAGCCTTTACCAATGACTCTAGAAGTGCCGCCATCTCCAAAGGTAACAATTCCTCCTTCATATTTTTCAAGGGAGGTGAAGTAGGATTTGTTACCGGACATGTGACGAGAGCACCCACTATCAAGATACCACGTGTGAGTCACGTGCTTTTAGAGCAGTGTGAACAACTAAACAAGTCAAATCATCTTTTCTCACCCAAATCTTTTTGGTCTTAACAAAATCAAGTCTAGCGGTCTTAGTAAATGTCTTGGCATTGTGAACACCCTCATGAATCTTGGTATTCCACCAAGACATGTAAGGTTGTCTCCTAACCCAAAAAGTATTCGAATTTCTACCTTTTTGAGACACCTTACCAAACAATTTAAAGCAATAAGGACGAATGTGGTCATACCTACCACAGTGATGACAAATAAAAACAGGTTTTACCTCCCTTTTGTTGATCTTAACCCCTTTAGGTAGATGAAGGGAGGGATCACCCTGGTCTACCTTCAACTTTCCCTTTGCTTGAGTCTTCAGGTCATGTGATGTAGAGGCCTGACCCTTGTGAGCTGTCGCATCATAGCCTAGCCCACTTTTGTCACAACCCATTTGTTGAGACCCGAGGATGTCTTCTAATGATTTAGAACCTTTGTTCCACATGGCAATTGTGGCTTTAGCAATTCGGAGTTCTTCATCTTTCTGACAAACTACCTCTTCCAATGAAGCTTGTGACATCTCAAGGCTTTCAAGCTTCTCTTCATATGTGGAATATATTTTCAGAAGTTCATTCCTTTCAGTTTCATAGGACAAAAGTTTCTCACATAGGTCATGCCTGTCACTTGAGATCTTGATGACATTCTACCTCTTCCAATGAAGCTTGTGACATCTCAAGGCTTTCAAGCTTCTCTTCATATGTGGAATATATTTTCAGAAGTTCATTCCTTTCAGTTTCACAGGACAAAAGTTTCTCACATAGGTCATGCCTGTCACTTGAGATCTTGATGACATTCTGCTTTGTTGTTACAAGTTCTCCTTTTAGCTTGACATTCTCAATTTCACATGCTTTGAGCTTGAGAGTGAGTTTGTCATTGATTTTGGACAAATTTAGAGATTCCTCAAAAAGCATTTCATAAGTTTGTTGTAGTTCATCACCATTAATCTCATCATTGTCTTCTGATGTTTCATCATCTTCTTTTTGTTCCTCATTCTCCTTGACCTCATCCAGTCTAGCAACTAAGGCAGAAAAGGTGATAGATTGTGGTGAAGATGAATCTCCTCTTTCATGGAATTGGCTCAGAATTTCCCATGCTTCTTTAGCCTTTGTGCAGTGAGCAACCCGTTACTATTCTTCATCAGAAATAGCTCCACGAATAGTAGTCAGAACTCTCTGATTACTTGGATTGTCAACACTTTCAACATCCTTTTCAATGGCTTGCCAGCCTTCTGGATCGAAAGCTCTCAGAAGCGCCCTCATTCTAATCTTCCAATACAAGTAGTTACTCCCATCAAAGGTGGAACATGATGCAGGTTCTGACCACGAGCTAATTCTGCTGGCTTTGGAAGAGGTTGAGTGAAAGTGGACCAAAATGCCATGAAAGCACTATCAGGTTCTTCGGGTTCTTGCTCCGACCCGCTTTCATCATCCCAAGTCACTATGTAGGCTTTCTTTCGATTCTTTTTCGAAGGACATTCAAGGGCAACATGGTCAAACCCTTGACATTCATAGAACTTGACCCCTTGTCCCTTTACAATCTTCTTTTCAATTTTTGGAGCACGTTTTGGTGGAAAAGTTTTGAGTTTTTCATTACTCGTCTTTTGAAATAGGGTCTCTGAAATTAGGCTTCTTTTTCTTCAAATTTTTTTTAAACTGTTTAGTAAACATAGCCGTCATCTCAGACTCTAAATCAAACTCAGTCTCCGGAGTTTTTGCAGTCTCATGAGCACTTGTGAAAGTCACATTATCTTTTTGTTTTTTCTTTGAAATCTGGTAGGCTTCATAAGTCTGCAAATTTCCAACCAATTGATCAAACTTGAGGGTATCAACATTCTAAGCCTCCTCAATAGCTGTCACTTTTGATTGGAACCTCTCGGGTAACGACCTTAAAATTTTTTCAACAACTTTAGCTTTAGGGATTTTTTCACCGAGTTTGAAACAGGAATTCACGATGTCACTAAGTTTTGCATAGAAATCATCAAACGTCTCATCATCACGCATAAAAAGGGTTTCAAAAGCAGAGGTGAGACGTTGAAGTTTTGACCTTTGAACAAAAGTAGTACCTTCGTGAATTGTTTCAAGAATGTCCCAAGTCTCTTTTGCTACCTCACACGTGCAAATACGACAAAATTCTTCAGGTGTGACGGAGCAAAAAAGGGAATTGAGAGTCTTATTGTTCCAACTCGAGTTTTGGTAATCAGTTGTATCCCATTTATCAAGGGGTTTAGAAATATCAACACCATCAATGGTGACAATAGGTTCACTCCACCCATAGATCACGCAGTACCAAACTTTCTCATCGACGAATTTTAAAAACGCTCTCATACGAGCTTTCCAATAAGAATAGTTTGTACCATCGAGTAAAGGAGGTCAATGGGTCGAGTTATCTTCACGAATAGAATCCATATCACTAGTCACACAAAATCACACTCCTATAGTTTTGATAAAACAAAGAGTGACCTGCTCTGATACCAATTGAAAATCCTAAGTGATTCGTGATTAGATCAAGATTAAAATATTTCAATTCCCAATTATTCAAAAACGCACAATCTAAATCATCAAGCACTTACGAAAGTGATTTAGATTGTTGTTTTCGGAATAAACAATAAATCGACACAAACGATTTTTTACGTGGAAAAACCACAATTGAAGAACCTTTAATTGTAATCAAAAACCACGGCCGAAATGCCACTAATCAATCTACTACTGAAGAAAGAAAGATTACAAAGATAACACACAAATTACCCAACTCAGCCAATTTGTTTTCAAATCTTCTGTAACTCTTTCACCAAGCCTTAGTCTCGGAACTGACTAATCTGAAGTTGAATCCACAACTTCACTTGTCGAATCAATGACTACGTACAGAATCAAACTCCTTTGAAACTCCACGTTTGAATCTTCGGAATCCACCGAAGAATAACACTCTTGTATGTATTCAATCAACCTCCTTGGTATGTGCTTGTCAATTCATGAGTTTAATACTCACTCAATTTATCAAGGAAAAAACTCACAAAAATACTCCAAAAGAAAACCTTAGAAAACCTCAAAGTAGATCTGAAAACCTAATCCTAGTTTAGGAGTAAAACAACTACTTATAGAAATCCTGGACTGTGAAGCTCGCTCGAGCGAAGCTTCTCTCGCTCGAGTGAGGAACTTAACTCACGTGATTTCCATAAGTGGCTTCGCTCAAGCCACGCATCCTGCGCTCAAGCGAACAATAAGCTCTTTCAGGTTTTTATGCAGACGCACTTCTTCGCTCGAGCGCACATTCATCTCTTTCAGGCTTTTAGCTAGACGCAGTCTTCACTCGAGCGAGGACTCCTTCGCTCGAGCGAGCAAGACAAAACAGCACAGAAATTTACAACTCAATCACACAAGTTTGTTCGCGGGATTGACAAGACTCAGGGACCTAACACAATCGACAGTAATTTGGACAGAAGAACCAATTGAAACTAAATTAAATCAAATTAAAATTTGAGTCAACCTATAGCAGTAAAAAGTGTAATTTACCCAATTTAATAATATATATATTGATACACTTTTGTTTGTGTTTGTTTCAGTATTATGTTATAGTATACATTTCCAATTGAGAGCTAGCTATTCTCTCAGTCAATGTTGTCTAGTTTGCCTTTCTACTGTGATATGGTATTTTGCCTGCCTTTCGGTGATGATGATGATGTCAAATTTGCAAATATATGACATTCTTCCCCATTTTTTTGTTGTCGGGTGTTCCTAATTCAGCTCTTCACTTTTAGTTACTAGCATTTGTGTTTATTCAATCAATTCTATGCCCAATTGCCATCCATAGTCATCGATGAGTATAAATTGCTTCAATTAACATGACAAGATTTGCTGTTCCACTTGCATGATAAAGCTTATATGGTACCTTTGGTTGTGCCAAATTTGCCTCATGAATTGATCCATCTTAAATTGATTAATTCCATTTTGTTTTTTCAATTTGTAAATGAGATAGTTCAAATTTGTGTAGCTGTTCAACAGAATAACATTGAATCTTTCAAATCTAGTTTAAAATTATTATGTATTCTAATAGAAATGACTGAATTTAAATACTCATAAAGAGAATAGGGCTTTGTCAACTTGTGTTGCTACATGTTTTCAGCCAAACAAATCTAATTATCTAGCTTTTGTAGATATTCAAATTATATTCTGGGGCCAAATTCACATTATTGGGATGACCAAACAGGCCCTTGCTGATTTATCTAGTTTTCTTAAACCCATTTGGGTTTTGTTCTATATTTTACTTGGGGAGATGACATCAAATAAAATCCATTGGAGAACTGGATTTATGTAGCTGATCCCAAGTAATTAGGACAGGCTTGAGTTGAGTTCTGGCTCAACTCACCACCGTGCTGCAATTTTTTAAAACAGTTGGAATCAATTAAGCCAATAAAAAAGTAAAAACGCCCGTGTTTGGAGATCAATTACCCATGAAGGCAAACCACACTCTTTGGATTACGATCAACGTGCACTCTTTCTTACGTTAAGCATGCATCCAAATTGTTTGATCATATACCAACATTATGCTGTGGTAGAGTAGGATGATAATCTTGTTTCTACTTCCCTTCCTCTTTACATATACATGTTTATGCATGTCTCCAAAATGATTTACTTGCTTTTTTCTTTGATTCTTCTTTTTGTAACCCATCTTTTCACCAGATGGGAGAACTCAAGAAACTGGTTGAAGAGGGTAAAATAAAGTACATTGGTCTATCTGAGGCCTCTCCTTCAACAATCAGAAGAGCTCACGCTGTTCATCCAATTACAGCAATACAATTGGAATGGTCTTTCTGGACAAGAGATGTGGAGGAAGAAATAGTTCCTACTTGCAGGTGAGGCGTCTATTCTGCTAATTGACATTTTAGGGAATAACAAGAAATCCAAATTGCGAATTTGATATCCGTGGTGATTATTCAGAGAACTTGGCATTGGGATTGTCGCATACAGTCCTTTAGGAAGAGGATTTTTATCATCAGGTCCCAAGCTTGTTGAGAAATTTGCAAATGAAGACTTCCGAAAGGTTTGCGCAATGTTAATGTCATCATAACATTGTTGTGAATAGTCTGGACTTTCTCTCTTCGTGCAAACTGTAGAAAAGTAATCGATGTTATAAGCTGATAAAATACACCATGTTTTCTAAAAATGAGGAGCGCTTGTTGGTAAAAGTTTCGTATATAAAACTTATTAAAGTCCTTTTATACTGAAATTGTAATTTTATAGCCAGTTAGTTGTATGTTTTCTGCTTCTTTGGGCATAAATTACTTTTGTGCTTCTTGGATTTTGTATTAAACTACATTCTAGTGTACTTTGTCAACAAGTGTAACTATTCAATGAAAAACTTTTCTCTTTTATCTTTTGGCACGAATTTTTTATAGTGAATGTAGTTACGTTTATTTCGTCCTTCAAACTCTCTTAATCCATTGGGAAAACAGGCATTGTGTTGGGTTGTGATGCAACTTCAGAGCATGTTTTACGTGATCAATCTCTGTATGGCGGATTCACAGTTCTGATGCTGAATCATGTATTTCATTTATTTTTTATTTTCTATTTTTTATTTTTTTGCAGCATCTACTAAGGTTCCAGCCGGAGAATATGGAGCATAACAAAAACATGTTTGAGCGAGTTAATGAAATAGCAGAGAAGAAGGGGTGCACCCCAGGGCAGCTAGCATTGGCATGGGTTCATCACCAAGGGAGTGACGTGTGTCCAATTCCCAGCACCACCAAGATTGCAAACTTGGATCAGAACATTGGAGCTTTGTTGGTAAAACTAACACCGGAAGAAATGTCTGAACTTGAATCCATTGCATCAGCTGATGAAGTTAAGGGAGATAGGCATGGAGAGGGCCTGACTACTTGGAAGAATTCAGACACCCCACCCTTGTCCTCATGGACATCTTAAGAAATACATCTGTCACTTTGTGTTGGTTGTTCCTTTGGAGTTGAAAAAGAACTTGGTTTTGTGATCCTCTGTTTTTGGAGTGTGTGTAATCTGTATTTGGTTTTTATGTGAGACCATGTTAAGGGTGATGTGAGCAGGGAAGGGACCTTCATTTTGTCCATCACCATTGGAGGTATAAATAAAAGGGGTTAAAATTTCTGTGGTTAATTTTATGGTTGGTTAAATTACACTTACTTCTATTAACGTTTGAAGAAAATATATCAAGTCCATAAATTTTATGCTTCTTGAAAGTTTTAATTCAAATAACACATTTGTTCTATTTATCAGTAATTTGTTAGTTAGTTGTATGGATTGAGAAATGACCAAATGAATTATGGAAACAAGTCAAATAAATTAAATGTAGATTGTTGTGCGAAAAGTCTGTAAAATATAAAATCATAGCAAAGTAGTTGATGGTTTTGAATATGGAATAGAAGAACAATATAAATTATGTAAATTCATGAGAGATAAATAATTGTAAGATATCAAGATTTACGTGATTTAACTTTAGCCTATATTCACATGTGAAGAGAAGAATTCACTATAGAGAGAGAATGGTTGCCCTCGAGAGCTACAAGGTGACAAAACTGTCTCTCACAAAACTTATCATTCAAATACTTTCTTATCAAACCCAAAATCCTCACTACTTCCAAGTGACAAGTTCTCACAAGGAGACATATAATAGATTTAGTTAAACATAATTATAGATCCCAAAGCAAAGAAGAAAGAGAGACGAGAACAAAATTTGAACCCTCTAAAACAAGATAAAATCTCACCAAATCAAGACTTCAAAAAAGACCCAAACTAAACAAGTCATTTTTGACAACTCCAAACAAACTATGGTGAACATATACGGATCTTCCAAGACCAACAAATGTAGATTTTTCAAAACTAACGGATACATATTTATGAAGGATCACCAAGCAAAGAGAAAATCTCCAAAAAGAGACCTCAAGGAACTTCAAAAGCTCTACCAAAGACCCAAAGGCCTTCCAAAAAGGAACTAAAAAATCTAATTGAACAAATAGTCTTCACATATTTATAACCAAATAATCATTCTTAAAACTAATCCTAAACAAAATAGGTATCCTATCAATCTAATTTACAATAATTAAGAAACTCTAAATTCAAAGTTTTAGAAGATCCAAATCAAGTCAAATAGATCTCTTACAAATTCAAACCAATATCGAGTGAAAAACAAGTCCAAATTTGACTCAATAACTCTTAGCACAATTCTTATTCTAATTACAGAATTAAATACCAAACTAAATCAAATTGAAAATACACATTAAACTAATACTCCAACACTTATTGGAAACTCCAAAAATACTATGTATGCAATGGAAGATTTTCATTACATATTTAATGGATACGAAATAGGAATATAAATTTATAATTATAGATTACTTAGAAAAAGTAGCTAGATCCTCTCTATACATATATACACAAACACACAACACAAATAAGCAATAGAAAGTTGTTTGGATATAATAAAAACATTATTAGACATAATCAAGAGCAACAGTACACATTAACAAATTACTCAAAAGTAATTATAAGTAATTAACTGTAACAAACTAATGAGGGCAATGTTATGGAACAAACACGATATTGACAAAAAAAAAAGTTCAGACACATACCAAATGTAACTCCAACTGCCATTTGCATGGTTCCTACAATGCAACCATAAGTAATCATACTCATACATATAGTTCAAGCATTAGCATGAAGAATCCCATCCCACAATGATGGTTTCAACCAATTCCAATTCACAGGCAACTATAACCATAAGAGTAATTAATTAAATACTAGCATATATGAAACATTGGAACCATAAAAAAAAAAAAAACAAATATCATGACAGAGCCAGCAAATTAAATCAAATAATGAAAAACCCAAATCCACAGTAATAAATTAAATCTAAATCAAGCTCCGTCAATCAGAACAATAAGGTTTTTGCCATAGCCAATTTTTCTTGACCCGGATTGAAATTGCAAGGAAGAGAACAAGATCAAACCGAACCCCTCTTTATAAGATGCAATCTGAGAATGAGAACACAAATCAAACCGTACATACATACATACATACATATATAAATATATATATATAAACAGATACGAAATGAGAGAAAAGAGGGATTTGAAGATGGAGTTTTGAATCACAAATCCAAGAACTCAAATGTTATATGTTATTAATGTATACAAATGTTATACATGCAGTGAAATTCGAAAGAGAGAGAGAGAGAGAGAGTACCGATTAAAGTTCAGAACCAAAGTAGACTATTCGCGGCCATTGGGGCTTGAAATGCGAGTAATCGAGGGGTCAGAGTTCAGATCTGAGCTTCTGGAAGACGAGAAGAGAGAGTTTCAGAGAGAGAAAGTGTAGGTATATATATATATATATAGAGAGAGAGAGAGAGACAGTGGAGCTCACCTTAGTGAAATGAAAATCGCAGGTGCAGATGGTGGTGGCGATGGAGCTTCGAAATCGAAATCGCTCTGAAATCACTGAATCTTTGAGTCTCTGCAAATAAGGATCAAGTAAGAATGCCTTCAAACATTGATTTCATAGATCTCTCTATTGATTTCATAGATCTAGAGAGAGAGAGAGACGGTGGAGCTCGCTACCTCGAAATTTGGAAAAATGGAGCTTAGTAGATCTAAATCGAGAGAGAGAGAGCAGATGGTGGGGCGATGGAGTTTCGAAATCGCTCTGAAGCTTCGAAATCGCGGGTGTAGATGGAGCTTCATCGAGCTTCGAGAGGGTTGAGAGAGAGAGAGAGAGAGAGAGAGAGTTGTAACATTCAGAGTTTCTCTCGCACAGAATCAAAATAAGGGTTTCAAAATGAGCACGGAAGAAGCGCGTGTACCCACCGCATTTGGAGGCGGTTTTAAACGCCTTCAATTATAAAACGGTGCCGTTTTGATTAAAAAATATGTGGCGGTTATAAAACGTCGTTAAAAATTAAAAAAAGTGACGTTTAAAAAAACGCCGTTAAAAAAATGCCATTAAAACTCCTTTTTCTTGTAGTGAAGGATTTAGAGTGGACTCATGGCATAGTGGGGACTCAATTGCATGGACCTCTAGGACATTCATTTATTTTGTTTTAGTTGTCATGTCTAGTTTGTGCATATGTCTTTTTATTTTTATTGAGGTTCATTTAGGATTATTTTGATATGTGGGCGATTTGTGTTCCATTTAGTATATATTTTTAGAAGTTGGTTATGGTTGGTTTTACCATTTATACTTCTGACTTGTCATTGGATTGGGTTTTGATTTATTTATTTATGGGCTATCATCACATTTATTCTTTGTGATTTTGGGTTTATATTTAGGCTTACGTGTGCCTTGGGCTAAGTCCCTGTGGGCCATGGCCGGTCATGCCCAGATTTGGGGTGTGACAGATAGTCACAATCTTGTCACCGTTAGATTGCCACCATCGCAAATCGCAGTTGCTGTAGTGAGAGGATGAGAAAGAGTGAGAATTAGAACTCTAATTGTCAATAGAGTAGTGAAAACATATGAAGAAATTATTTTCTAATGTACCTAAAAAAAATATGGGGAAATTAGTGGGTACCCATTCCTCGTGTAGATTTAAAGAATATCACTTACCCTTCTCGACGAACAAGAAAAAAGGGAAAAACCAATGTATTTGGGTTGGGTCTCCATAGATATCCACAGGGTAGGTTATCCATTGTCATCCCTAGTTTTCACTACTCTTTTTACAATTAGAGTTCTAATTCTCACTCTCTCTCATTCTCTTACTACAGCAACGGCGATTTACAATGGCGACAATCTAGCGGCAATAAGATTGTGACTATCGATAAAAAAATATACAATTAATCATAACCAAAACATGGAAATTGAAGACAAAAATGTACAAAATTTCAATTAAGGTGATCACTAGTTAAGATGAAAATTAGGAAATTCAATCTAAGGTTACCATCAAATCAGAGAGAAATCCAATAAAACAATTGCAGGAGATATTAAAATAAGAAAATTCATTCTATAAATGCAAATAAAAATTAAAAAAGACGAAGAAGAAGAAGAAGATGGAAACGAGAGTAAAAACTTACTTTCAAATTATCGAAGATCAACCAATAGAGAGGAGAAGGAGATGCATAAAATTAAAAAAAATTAAAAAAGAAGATGGAATTTTTTTGTAGGAATAGTTTGGTTGTGAGCCTTTAAAAAAAAATTAAAAAAAAGTCAAGTTGGGTCGGAGAAAATTCAAACCCAATAGGAGATGGGGATGATAATACCCATGGGTGTATTTAATTGGACGGACTAGATAAGAGGGGATTAGAATCTATCGGACTTGAGTCTTGGGACTGTGAATCCCCCAGATTATTTGGTTAGATTGGATATGTATCCTGTGTTTGTTTTTTCATGGGATTAGATACTTGGAAATGACTATTTTTAGTGAATCCAACGTTTGGTTGGACGGACTAGATAGGATAAATGAACAAAAGACTATTTTACCTTTTTTTAATTGTTTACTAAGTAATAGCAATATTAAACATATCTTTAATATTTTAATTTTTTAGCTAGATTAAATAAAATTTTAATTTTATTTTATTTTTTGCACAATTAAATAAATTTATTTTTTTTAATTAAATAAATAAAATATCAATAAAAATATATGTTATTTTTTTAATTAAAATTTTAAATAAATTTATTTTTAAAAATAATAATAATTAAATTATGAAATTAAATTAAACATCTATTAAAATTTAAATAATGAAATTAAATAAATTATAAACAAAATTTTAAAATAAAGCATCAATAAAATACCTATAAAAATTACTTTAAAAATTAAATAAATAAAACATCAATAAAAATTTAAACAAAATTATTTTATTTTTAAATTGAGACATTTAAATTTTACTGAATTTTACTAAATATAATGCATAATTAAATAGTAGAGGGTCAAAATGGTCATTTCATCACCTAATCTCAACAGCAAATAGTCCCCCGAAAATTGTCCCATACCCCCCAGGATACAATAGTCCTCCATATGAGGGATAAGGAGTCCGGCCGGACTCCATGTTCGGCGGACTAAAAAAAAACAAACGGCAGATAAAGAGCCTCCCCCGGATTACAATCCCAATAGTGAATAATCCCCCCCTTATCCCCCAATCAAACACACCCATGGGGAATAGGGAAAAATAATTATAAGGGAATAGGGATGGAGAATTAATATCCACTCCATTAACCCCATTGTCATCCCTATTCACATGTGTAGGCGCTGACATAAGCATTTTTTGTCTTTTTCTACATTTCGCCAACTACTAGTCCGGTCTATAGGGGCAATTAGACTATTGTTGGAGCAAATCCATCTAGTGCCCTAATTTTTTTATTTGGAAAAATAATTTACAAATAGAATTTCTCAGAATTTATATATAAAAAAATGTATTTAGAATGATGTAATAACAACATATTTATAATTATGAGACATAATAATAGATATTTTGATTAAAGAACATCATAAATAATTATGTCATTTGATATGAAACTTTTGTATAAAAATTAAGCTTATGTAACATTACCTTTTTCATATTGATTGTATGGTAATATTGGATTGATGCTCCTTGATCCACTGTTTTAATGTTGGTTATTAGACAATTTTGTCATAATACTCCACATTATTCACACTGTATTACTTAATGAATATATAACTGGTTGTAAATCAAAAAAACAAAATCTTAAAACTCAAATGATTTTTCTTAATTTCATAAATCATAACTTAAATTCACAAATTAGTTCATTGAAAAAGAGAAGAAGTAAAAAAACCCTAAACAACTTTTTTTCATGGTGTAAACATATATATATATATATATAATTGGTTGTGCACAAAAAAAAAAATGTCAAAACTTATAGTTTGTCAGATATGGAGTAGAGTTTAGTGATTCCAGATTTTGTCAGAGTTAATGGTGCCTTCAATCGACTTTGGATATTCGCAGGTTGAGGTTTGATTTGGGCAAAAACGTGAAAGTTCTTCGGGTTTTCTCTAGAGCTCTCTATTTTCTTATACGTAAAATGAAGAGAGAGAGAGAGAGAGAGAGTAGAATAGGGGTTTATATACCTGGTTTAATGGTAATCTTTTGTAATAATAGATGACATTTAAGTATTTTGACTTCTTTAGTTTCAGCTACCCCCATAATCAGAATCTAAAAGCACCCCTTGAGATGCTTTTTAAAATTAACTTTTTTCCTCACATTTAAGTTACAATAAGTTATAAGTTGCTACCTTGTAAGTTATGCCAAATACACAATTTCAACTTAAATTAAGCTAAAAGCTAAAATAAGTTGTCTTTAAGCTACACCAAACACCCACAATGTATCCTACACACAGCCTAAAAACACGGGACTCAAAAAAGGATATGAGTGTAGAGGAAATTTCAGTGAATGTATTAAGGAAATGTTTGGGATGTTAGTTTTTTTAATTAAAATAGTCAAAAAGTGAAAATATTTAATCACATCACTTATTTTACTTTTTTATACATCTTTATGTAAAAAATTAAAGACAAACATATCCACAAGTTCTAAGCCGCTATCGATAATTGTAGGCCTCATTAGCAACTGGATTAAAAGTCAGCTTATTGACTTTTTGGCTTTTTTGAATCACATCGAGGATTGTACAAAATACCATCTAATCCGTTAAAATCGCACTGATCAGTATCAATCTGCACTGTTTTATCCATTAACTGCGAATTAAACTTTAAAATCTATAATCCGCTTTCAAAATCGTTCCACTATGCTATAATCAATACACACACAGACACAGGCGCACACACACACACACACACATATATATATATATAAGCCTCTAATGAAATATCAAAATAAAAATGAGTATGAGAGAAATTTAAAATGTTAAATTTATTACAAATTAGTAGTTATATATATGAAAAATATTATATAAAATTAGTTTGTTATATATATATATAAATTTTTTTATGCAAATTAGTATTATATTATGTAAATACTTGATAATTGGTTAAAATATTTTTTAATCTTTCAATCCACTCAAAGCCATCTAAACGGTGATTTGCCAATTCGTTAATTCACTAATCCACCATTCAATTTAAACCGTTCGAATCATACAACACATACCCCTAATCACACCACCTCTTTAATAAAATAAAATAAAATAAAAAATTAATTTTAAACCTGACCTCAAAATAGGCCGCAAGCAGATAAGGATCCGGACCTGATTAATAGCGACACTGACGGATCCGAACCATAGCCCGGAAACTATTCACATGCGTAGGCGCTGACATAAGTAATTTTTGTCTTTTCCTACACTTCTTGCTGGGTGGGTAGTCTTTTTTCTACACTTCGCCAACTAGTCCGGCCTACAGGGGCATTAGACTATGCAAAATACTTGGAACCACATTTTGGGGGACACGACTTCCAAATAATTGTAATTCATCAAGTGTATTTTTATTTTTGTAATATTTCTTTTTCTCTCACACCTGTGCGAGGGTCACGGAGGTGAAGTGTTTGTAGGGGTCAGTATTATTTCTAATTAGACTATTGTTGGGCCAAATCCATCTAGTGCCTTAATTTTTTATTTGGAAAAATAATTTACAAATAGAATTTCTCAGAATTTATATAAAAAATGCATTTAACATGATATAATAATAACATATTTATAATTATGAGACATAATAATAAATATTTTGATTAAACAAAATCATAAATAATTTTGTCATTTGGTATGAAACTTTTGTATAAAAATTAAGCTTATATAACATTACCCTT